GAGTGCAGGGTTGAGGGCTTCTCTATGTATGGAGTGCAGAGTTAAGTGGTGCACTGGGTACGGAGAGCAAGGCACACTGTGTATGGAGTGCAGAATTGAGGAGTGCGCTATGTATGAAGTGCAGGGTTGAGGGGTGCACTGAGTTCAGGGTTACATTATGTATGGAGTTCAGGGTTAAACTGTGTATGGAGAGCAGGGTTGAGGGTGCGCTACGTACAGACTGCAGGGTTGAGGGGTACGCTGTGTATGGAGTGCAGGGTTGAGGGGTGCTCTATGTATGGATTGCAGGGTTGAGGGGTGCGCTCTGTACGGAGGTCAGAGCTACACTTTGTTTGGAGTGAAGGATTGAGGGGTGCACTATGTACGGAGTGCAGGGTTGTGGGGTGTGCTATGTACGGAGTGCAGATTTACACTGTGTATGGAGTGCAGGATTGAGGGCTGTGCTATGTATGAAGTGCAGGGTTGAGGGGTGCGCTGTGTACGGAGTTCAGGGCTACGCTGTGTATGAAGTGCAGGGTTGAGGGGTGTGCTATGTATGGAGTGCAGTGTTGAGGGGTGCACTATGTACGGAGTGCAGGGTTGTGGGGTGCGCTATGTACGGAGTGTAGGGTTACTCTCTGTACGGAGTGCAGGATTGAAGGCTGTGCTATGTATGAAGTGCAGGGTTGAGGGGTGCTCTGTGTATGGAGTTCAGGGTTACGCTGTGTAATGGGTGCAGGGTTGACGGGTGCGCTATGTATGAAGTGCAGGGTTGAAGGGTGCGCTGTGTACGGAGTTCAGGGTTACGCTCTGTATGAAGTGCAGGGTAGAGGAGTGCGCTATGTCTGTACATAGCGCACCCCTCAACCCTGCACTTCATACCCAGCGTAACCCTGAACTCCGTAGTGCAGGGTTGTGGGGTGCGCTATGTATGGAGTGCAGTGTTGTGGGGGTGCGCTATATACGGAGTGCAGGGTTGTGGGGTGCGCTATGTACGGAGTTCAGAGTTACGCTGTGTATGGAGTGGAGGGTTGAGGGATGTGCTGTGTATGGAGTGCAGGGTTGAGGGATGTGCTATAAATGAAGTGCAGAGTTGAGGGGTGAGCTATGTACGGAGTTCAGGGTTACACTATGTATTAAGTGCAGGGTTGAGGGGTGCTCTATGTACGGAGTGCAGGGCTGAGGGATGCGCTGTGCATGGGGTGCAGGGTTACACTATGTATGGAGTGCAGGATTGAGGGGTGCATTGGGTACAGCGTGAAAGGCACAGTGTATGGAGTGCAAGATTGAGGGGTGCACTATGTATAAACTGCAGGGTTGAGGGGTGCGCTGTGTACGGAGTTCAGGGTTACACTGTGTATAGAGTGCAGGATTGAGGGCTGCACTATGTACGGAGTGCAGGGTTGAGGGGTGCGCTATGTACGGAATGCAGGGTTACACGGTGTATGGAGTGCAGGATTGAGGGCTTCGCTATGTATGAAGTGCAGGGTTGAGGGGTATGCTGTGTACGGAGTTCAGGGTTACACTGTGTAAGAAGTGCAGGGTTGTGGGGTGCGCTATGTACGGTGTGCAGGGTTGTGGGGGTGCGCTATGTACGCAGTGCAGGGTTGTGGGGTGCGCTATGTACAGAGTGCAAGGTTGTGGGGTGCGCTATATACGGAGTGCAGCATTGAGGGCTGTGCTATATATGAAGTGCAGGGTTGATGGGTGCGCTGTGTGCGGAGTTCAGGGTTACGCTGTGTATGTAGTGCAGGGTTGTGGGGTGCGCTATGTATGGAGTGCAGGGTTGAGGGGTGCGCTATGTACGGAGTGCAGGGTTACACTGTGTATGGAGTGCAGGATTGAGAGCTCCGCTATGTTTGAAGTGCAGGGTTGAGCAGTGCACAGAGTTCAGGGTTACGCTGTGTAAGAAGTGCAGGGTTGAGGGGTGTGCTATGTACGGAGTGTAGGGTGCGCTATGTACGGAGTGCAGGGTTGAGGGGTGCGCTATGTACGGTGTACAGGGTTGTGGGGGTGCGCTATGTACGCAGTGCAGGGTTGTGGGTGCGCTATGTACAGAGTGCAGGATTGAGAGCTGCGCTATGTATGAAGTGCAGGGTTAAGAGGTGCGCTGTGTACGGAGTTCAGGGTTACACTGTGTAAGAAGTGCAGGGTTGTGGGGTGCGCTATGTACGGTGTGCAGGGTTGTGGGGGTGCGCTATGTACGCAGTGCAGGGTTGTGGGGTGCGCTATGTACAGAGTGCAAGGTTGTGGGGTGCGCTATATACGGAGTGCAGCATTGAGGGCTGTGCTATATATGAAGTGCAGGGTTGATGGGTGCGCTGTGTGCGGAGTTCAGGGTTACGCTGTGTATGTAGTGCAGGGTTGAGGAGTGCGCTATGTACGGAGTGCAGGGTTGTGGGGTGCGCTATGTATGGAGTGCAGGGTTGAGGGGTGCGCTATGTACGGAGTGCAGGGTTACACTGTGTATGGAGTGCAGGATTGAGAGCTCCGCTATGTTTGAAGTGCAGGGTTGAGCAGTGCACAGAGTTCAGGGTTACGCTGTGTAAGAAGTGCAGGGTTGAGGGGTGTGCTATGTACGGAGTGTAGGGTGCGCTATGTACGGAGTGCAGGGTTGAGGGTGCGCTATGTACGGAGTGCAGGGTTGAGGGGTGCGCTATGTACGGTGTACAGGGTTGTGGGGGTGCGCTATGTACGCAGTGCAGGGTTGTGGGGTGCGCTATGTACAGAGTGCAGGATTGAGAGCTGCGCTATGTATGAAGTGCAGGGTTGAGAGGTGCGCTGTGTACGGAGTTCAGGGTTACGCTGTGTATGTAGTGCAGGGTTGAGGGGTGTACTATGTATGGAGTGCAAGGTTACACTGTGTATGGATTGCAGAGTTGAGGGGTATGCTGTGTACATCCAAGTTCTCCCTCCCACAAGTACAAAGCCTTCTTCCTAACAGACTTTATTTCAGAGTTCACCCACCGAAAACAAACCCACACAAAATTTTCACAGTGTGGCTGTAGAGGAATACTTACAGCGTGTACGTGCAGGCTGCCTGTGAGGAGCTTTTGACTGTGTGGATTCCCCACCCCCTCCTTCCTCTGCTGTCATATAGAGATCGATGTGTAGAGCAGAGAGGGTTCTGAGCAGTTGCCAGAAGAGGAGAGTGGTCTCTTGTAAACACAGAAGCTTTGCTTCCGTATTTACAAGTGACAGAAGTGGGCAGTGCTGGAGGTGGCGGAATTAAGGCTGGGAAAAAAAACTCCTGGCGGGCAGTGTGTGCTCAGGGGGCAGCTGCTTTGGGCCTCTCAACAATGACTGGGCCCTAAGCAGCTGCTCCTTTTGCCCTGCGTTAAAGATGGCCCTGTATTCCATGATGATTTACCTTCTTGAAAAAGGTTTATAATCCTCTCCTTTGATTCAACTGGCATCTCTCATGTTGGAGGCATGATTCATGTCAATCAGCTTGGTGCAGCAGCTCACCAAGGTGTGTAAGCACTCTTCTTTTAACTGCAGACTAATTTGCAGATGTAATCTGATGCAGATGTTTGTTTTAGAACTGTAAAGTACATGGTGATTCCATAATATTTTCCTTAGAATTGAGAGATTCCATATTTTTTTCCTCTGATTGTTCTGCAAAACAGTTGCAATTGACTAGTTTTCTTTCTTTATTTTTTCAGTGTTTCCTAAAGCTAGAAGGTTGGAATGTTAAATGAAAATAGTTTTGAGGCATGTCTGATTGTATTTTTTTTCTACACAATCAAATGAACATTTTCCAAGAGAGGTGATTCCATACTTTTTGCCAGGGGTTATAATCAGTCCAGACAATGAAAGTCTCACACATGTGATATCCCCATATTTGGGAGGAGTAGCAGAATATGTTTTGAAATGTATTTCCAAGTACGCTCATACTGCATAGGAGAAATATCTTCATATGTCTACTAGGCATGCCAAAAATACTAACAAGGTTAAAAAATGCATCAGGTAAGTAGACATTCACAAAAGCTTTGGGTGTTTCTTTATTGCTAAATGTACAACCGAATGTTGGCCATCTTTGAAAATACACAAGCGCCAAAACTGTATTAGTGTGAGAAGAGTTTATGTGAAATCTCCATTAAACACCGTAAATAATATTGTAATTATAAATATATTTCAGTTAGAGATGTATCAGTCTGGGTGTGCAATATGTCTTTCCATAAATTCCTGTTCTATAGATATCATAGTCACCAAAGGGAATATTCTATTAATTACACCTTCTTAACTATATAACAGGAGTCTTTGCTGAGAATCCTCTTTCAGACAGTTCGGTGCCAGAGTTAGTTTATCTAACAAAGGGACAAACCTGTTGGCTTCACAATATGCTCTTCAAAGGATACCTCATTTATATATGCATGAAGGTGGCCAGCCGTTCATGAATACTTAATTTCCCAGGAAAAGGTCATGAACTGTCATGCTTAAATGCCATAAAGGGTGTGCCAAGATTTGCCTTAAAGGGGGTTGGTGTATGCTAAATACAGGAGATTTGAAGTTAGCCAATTATGAAAGGGAATAGATTTGCCAACCAGAGAAACTCCATGAAAATTAACGGAGGAAAAGCCTTTAACTATGGACACTAGAGAGAGAAGAGGTTCTCTTTGGAACACCAGGGGAAGGGAATGGAACTTGTACGTCCAGTTGCATGGTAATTATGTAATATATACCTTGCACTTATATCTAAATGTTTGTCTTATAGCTTTTCTGTCTCATTGTTTGTATTTTGTAATATGTTTGAGCTTTCTTAATAATGTTTCTTTAATGTAACTAGATATATTGTTTGTGCTAGTTTAGACCTCCATCCTATTCACCAATACATTTTGGTTGTTGTATTAAACCTTTCACTTCTGGGTAAGAACTCTTCATTTACCAAATCATATCAGAGAAATATTATATTTCATAATCTATAGATTTGGTCAACATTAGCCATCTATTATTTGCTTTTGTTGGTAGGGAGACGTGTACTGATCACAAGAAGTGCAACAGTCGTGCAATTGTATTACCTCCTTCAGCAGCTCCTGCAGTCCATCACCAGAGGAACTTCCTGTAAGAGGCTTTTCCAACATATTGACTCTGTCTGTCTGAAGTTGCCCTATTAATAAGTTCTTTTCTTCAATTTCAACTCCCACCTGGTGTATTATTGACAAAACATCTATATGTTTAGCTTCAGAGTTTAATGTATATGTGAATGCAAGAAAGTAGTACATAATTACAGCTATTAATGCAGGTCGATTGCCAACAATTAAAATACCTTTACTGTTTACTTTGATTTACTGACCAAATAAGTTAATGAAAACAGAATAAAATAGTGAATGTTGCATATTTGTATGTCACACGATATTTGTGCAGCATTTTTTCAAACAAATTTTTTTGGAAATAATACAATTTAATGAGTGTTAATGCGCAAAAACAAAATATAATACCCAATTGTTTAATAAAATATAAAAGATGATGTTACGGTGAGCAAAGAAATACCAAACGTCACACTTTAAAAATGGAGTATGTCCATGGAATGGCGCCAAACTAGGGTACCTGAAAATTTCCAAAGGCGACACATTAAAAGCCTTCACAGGTTCCCAGTTTAGAGTTACACAGGATGTCTGGCACCTGAATTATCGCTCTGCCGTTCACGGATGTCTGGTGCAATCGCCGTTTACATTTGCTCATGGGACAGAAGTGTGCATTTACCTTTGCGCCTTTCAACTTTTTTTTATCATTTATTCTATTCAATTTTTTTTTTTACACTGTACCTTTAATTTTTTTTTCTTATCAACTTTATTGCCATCACAAGGGATGAATAACATGATACGACAGGTCCTAATTATGAAGAGATCTGGGGCCTGTTAGATCTCAGATCTCTCCTCTTGCCTCCACTGCAGCTGACCAGACACAGATTGGTCTGATCAGCTGCTTTACAGGCTTGTAAACGGCCAGTAAACACAGAACCGAAACCAGAAGTGATAAAATCCTTGTCGCTTCTGGTTTCTGACGTCACACAGTGGAAGGAAAATCAGTTTCTCTCAATGTGTGCACGGAGCTGGATGCCACCAGTTGGATCCTTACCAGGCTCCCCGATTGGACGGGTAAGCCCAGTAAAGGCAGCGGCAGGAGGGAGGGTCCCCCTTCCGCCACCTGTAAAAATAATACAGCGGCTGTTTAGCCTCTCAGATTACTTTTACGAAAAAGAATCGCTGGTCCTAAAAAAAAATATACCAGGATCATGACTGTAGCTGCAGTCATGATCATGGTATATACTCTTCAACTTTAGGCTGTTTACAAATGGCCTAAGGATGGAAAGTGGTTAAAAGTGAATTTTAGACAGATCTAAAAACCAACTATGCAGTCATTTATTTATTAAATTATAATATAATGTATTTTTATAATGCAAGTAGTGTTGGAACCTAAATATCACTGGATAACAGCCTATATGGTATGCCCTGTACAGCAGTATACAGCGATGGATGAGTAGTATTTGGAACAGCACAAATGTCCCACATTTACATGCACTAACAACATGCAGACAGGAGGAGCGAGCACAGAGATGACCTCAACAGTCTGTTCCTGCTTCTTTACTATACTGAAATGTATGTAATTACACTGTAATGAGGCAGTGAGCTAGCTTAATTGCTTAAAGCTGATCTCCAGGTTTTAATGAACATGCAGCAAAGGACTTAGAACGCCTCCGAATGGAAAGCCTGTTTCCCTGGATCCCTACACTGACTAGTGAGAAAGTCCACCTGCTAATTTTCTACAATGTGGATGGTATGCAGAACCAGAATGTAGCCATTCTGTCCAAGAGAGTATAAAGTCTGCTTTCCTTTGAGCTGTGGGACTTCTGGTGCCTCTCTGACAACTGATGTAGGCCACGGCAGTGGCATTGCCCGACTGGATTATTGTCAGGTGACTTCATAGCTTAGAGTTCAAAAGTGAAAAGACAACAGAATTGCCCTGAGTTCCAGGATGTTAAAGGGAAGTTGGGCTTCCATCTCCGGTCAAGTCTCGTGCATCTCGAAAGCATCAGACAATTCCCTAGCCTGACAGATTGGCATTTGTTGTAAGGAGTTTCCACATCTTTGGTATTAGGGCTTCCCCAACTCCAACATCATGTTGGAAATCTACCAAGTCAGGGAGAGTCTGGCCTTCCATGGTGAAGTCTGCCTGTCCCACTCGGACAGATAGCTGCAACAGTGTGGTGTGACACTGGGCATACAGCACTGCCTCAAGAGGAGGTTACCATCAGACCCAAGACCTGTATGAAGGCAGGAATCAAAAGTCAAACTTGGGGCCATAGGACCTATGCAGGAGAGCAAAGGGACAGAAGTTTGTTAACAAGCAGGATACTGGACAGGGCCATATCCATTGTCAAACCCAGGTACTCTAATTCATGAGCTGGTTCTAGTGATGACTTTATAGGGTTGAACATCTAAATGAACCGCTGCAGAGCCTTCACTGTCCACAGGACTGTTTGTTTAGTAAAAGGTCTTTCTCTGGGAGAAGTGTACTCTTACCCCCTTTGATCTCCTTGATGTATTTATCAAAGTAGGGACCAAACAGGTGTTCTTTTCCAAAAGGCAGACACTCAGTGTTTCTTGTACAGAAGATCTGCCAACATTCAATTCAGCCAAAGAATCCTTCACATATGGATGTAGAAGAGGCTGATTCTGGAGAAATGTATCTGCCAGGCCATTTGAACAATAGTGCAAGGCCACAGGTAAAAAGCTCTAAATGGCGGTGTATGGTGAGCTCCAGTAAGGTATGAAAGAGAGGGAGAGGCACCCGCTAAGTGCAGCATAAAGTTAAGGCATTTATTAGCACCAGATAATAAACACTCGCAATTTTAGAAAAATCAAATGCTCATCAAAATGTAGGTTCACCATTCACTCCTGTCCTGCAAGGTCTGCCACCGTAATCCAGGCTTGGAAATGGAACAGATGTGGCCAGGATGCCCTGATTACTGGTTTCTGTTTATAGGGAAAAAACGGGGGAAAGAACAGAGGCCATAGGACTACAAGGACCAGCAATTCAAAAAACTACTGCTTGTAAAAATTAAAAATACCATTTGTAAAAGTTACAGAATTCTTAAACTGCATATACTATGTCCAATAACTTACTACTTGATGGTCAAGGAAGTGCATACAGGTAAAAAATTGAAAGCTTATGGATATATAGAGCACTCTATAAATAATCACAAATATATTGCACACACCAGGAGAACTTGAAAAGAAAGTAATACAAATACACTTAACTAAAAAATAAGATAAAAAAATATAAAAATATATATAAAAAGTATGTATTATAATCAGAACAGAGAACAAGAATAATAACAATGACGTGGATTAAAAGTTGGTACTTACTAATGATGTCATGATTATAACAAAACCCCATAGACCAAATGGTCCGATATCCATCAAGTAGTAAGTTATTGTACATAGTATATGCAGTTTAAGAATTCTGTAACTTTTACAAGTGGTATTTTTAATTTTTACAAGTGGTAGCTTTTTGAACTGCTGGTCCTTGTAGTCAGTGTTTTTTTTCCCACATTTTTTTTTTCCTATAAAAAAATAAACTAGCAACAATACAGCTCCGGGTCTGTAGAGGAGCAAGAAGCTCCGAGCACGTAGCCTGTTGTTGGTCTTGGTTTCTCCTCCTTCTGCTGACGTCACTTCGGTCCGTGTGTTTCACGCTAGTTCCAGTGGACTTCCTGATGTACACAGGATGTTCCGACCCAATCTGTTCCATCGCCAAGTCTGGATTGCTGTGGCAGATCCTGCAGGACAGGAGTGAGCGATGAACCTACATTTTGATGAGCATTTGATTTTCTACATCTTCTGAGTGTTTATCTGGTGCTAATAAATGCCTTAATGTAATATTGAATTTAGTGGGCGCCTCACCCTCTCTTTCTTATCTTCTACACACAGAGCTGGCTGAACTCTGTGGATGCCTGCCGCCGGTGCTTACTAGGACCAATATTTATATGGACTTTGGGACTGCCAAAGACATTTGTTAAATCAATGTGTCTATCAGTGTAAACACACACAGGCTGGCTACTGGTCACTAGCTTCCTTGTGCACCAGAACATTACTTTTTGTCCATGGGGCCTGTATACAGGATTCTCCTCTTCAGGAACTGTTCGTGTGTTGCTAAGACAAGGGATGGAAGGATTTAGGCACACGAACGGTCTATTTTTGCATGCTCTTTTCAAAAGAGTGTTAATGAGCAAAACGGTTTGAAGGAGCAAATACATTTTCAGGGTGAAGTCAACCACCGTATAAAACAGACTCTAAAAATGAGCAGGCTGGGAAGGTTTTAGCAGGTCTAGGCAAATGCAGAGACCTCATGCAGGAGAGCCTAGGAGGCACTACTGCCTGCTGAACCCAAGCAGGTGTCCAAAGATTGCTGTCCTATACAGTAGGAGCCACAAGTGCCCACCAAGAAGCATCAAACCAGTTTAAAACAAGGCAGTACAGGAACAATAGCACCTGGTGAATCAGACTTGCAGTAGACCAATGAAGAAATGGTGCTGGATTAAAAAACAGCCCACTGTTTTTAAGCTTCGTGGCTGCAACACACTGTTTAAAATGTTGCAGTTTGGGCTCCTTCATAGGCAAGGCATTACTATGCACCATGGGTCAGAAATGATAGAAGCAAGCCCTACACCTACTGTGGAATTTGTTTTCACACTCCAAGCAGGATGTAAGGGATTAGACCCCATCCTGGGTTTGCCATTCATGATGAATTTATCCCCGATGGGGTCCTCAGGAACAGGGCTATATAGTCAGCAGACCACAGCCCTGGACCTGTATAGCACCCAATGGCTAACTCAACATGATGCACTACAGGAGCACCCATCCAAGAGCCTGAAGTGACATTACAGTGGCATCTTTATTCTGGCAAGGTACAGTTATGGTCCTCCAAGGCTCAGCCAAAGAATCAACTAATTCTGATGTTCTTGGAAGTTGGGATGTTCCTATTCTACATTGAAGAGTGTAGGATCTAGGATGTGGGTTCTTTTAAAAAGGTATACTATTTTTTGTGTATGCTTTTATTGTGCATCAATAAATATTTTGTATAAAACAGCTGATTGCGCGGGTCTATATAAAAATGTTCCCTTTGTATGTTTTCTTTTTCA